CAAAGAAATGCTTTATGAGAAAAGAAATGTTTGCTTCAGTTCTAGGTCATGCAGTCTATTTGCATGCCATATATACCTGTCTAAGTATCCGTTTCAAATCTTCTCAAAATGTTTGCTCCTTTAGATCTTTGACTGTGTTTCAGGTCATATTTGTACAGCTATTATTGCAAATATACTTTTGTCCAGTTCTCAATCACTTTCACATTCTTTTCTTTTTCAGTTGCATGCCATATCATGTGGACTGAAGGCTCTGAGCTCGAGCGATGCTTCTGCAGGCATTGAGATATGCCGACTGGCCTGTGGCGGACATGGATACCTGTCATCTTCCAACCTCCCTCGCATCTATACTACAACCACTGCTGCCATCACCTACGAGGGAGAGAACACGGTCATGTGGCTTCAGGTCGCAAGGTTGGTTATATATGGGTGCTGAGCTGTATTGTTTTTCTTACGTGTTTCTGTTTTGGATATATTAGTCTAAGTGAGGCTATTTTTCTCAGTCTTAGCACCATCTGTTTTTATGTATTTTCACACCTTTATAAGAAAGCGAAATCAGTGGCATATTGGTACCTTTTACCGAAAACTCATCACTCATTTATAAACAAAAAGAACTTTGCATTCCAGATACATCATTAAATCGTACCGTGAAGCACGTAAGGGGGAGAAGCTGTGCCATTCCGTTTCGTACTTGGCAGCTCAGCCTGTGTCCACACACATGTCTACCAGCCTTTCAAATGAAGGTTGTATTTTCTGACAGTTTATATCACATTTGCTGTACATTCACTGCAGTCTTGTTTACTCATGAATTTGACCATTTAGATTTTTCGTTTCAAATTGCAAGGATAGGTTTCACTGTGAGAAATGCAGAAAAAGGTATAAGTGAAAGTGAAAGACTTCTCAGTGCAAGTGATGACTTTTTAAATAAAATTTTAATCAGAATTACATGGTAATGATAATAATGATAAAAAAATGCATCAGATAAATATCAAGTGCTGTGAAGTAATTCAATCTCTTTCATACCTTTTTTCACTGAATCACACATTAGAATTTTGGCAGCATACTTGAATGAATTGCAGAAAAAGAGAAAAGAAAATGATAGTGTTAATTTTACTTTTAGCCCTGGTTGAAGCGTACAAGATAGCTGTGTCGGCCATTGTCTCCGAGACTGCGAACCGCCTGCAGAAGTACTGTGATCAGGGAGAACAGTTTGAACTTGCATGGAATAAGTGTTCTGTTCTGCTCGTGAAATGTGCTCAGGTCAGTTATACTATAGGGTGGGAGTGTCAGTCTGTCATTCACTGATAAATGGTTGTCCAGAGCTCTTTATTTATATAAATATTATATTTATTAATGAATCTTTATTATAAAAGTAAGGATTTACATACTGGTTCACCTTTTTATTTATATAGATAGCATATTTATTATGTCATCTTTATCATAAAAGTATATGCTAGTTAACTTTCTCCATGGTGATATTTTTGAGATCGTCCTTTATTTTATTTTCCTTCTTTTCCAAATTAAGATGTTTTGGCATTCCTCTGCTCTCAACAATACTGTCTTATTGTGATTAGTGTCAGAATGGTGTAAATGAGAATAAGTTATTCCACAATGCAAGATATGTAATATGTTGATATTAAATTGTAATGTTTGATGTAATTTCAAAACACAATTGTACACTTAATTCATTAATCATATATAAATTTTCTCCATGTCTTCTTTATGTGTTGGATGGATGGCTATATTATGGCAATGATGAGGGTAATTTTTCTCATTTCCATAGATAAATCAGTGTGTCTCTGTTAGTTTTTTTAGCAGTTATCATTTAGTTATCTACGATTAATGGCAATGAAGGGGAGAATTATTGTGAATCGGCAAGTTGATTACTTCATAGCTGCCAGATATAGGTATTGCAAAGTGAAATATTGTATAGACGTACAAATCACAAGTTCGATAAGAAACACTCTCCTCTCACCATCTTAACCTGCATTTGGGAAAGGCAAATCAAAAGCCTCTAATAAGGAACTCAGTCGCTCATATATCCAATTTTAAAAGGATTTCCCTCTCACCCGCAGGCCCATACTAGGTACTTCACATGCGAGCAGTTTGTCGAGAATGTTGAGAGCCTGGAGCTGAGCGAGGGCGTGCGGAATGTTCTTCGTCGATTGTGCCGTCTCTACCTCATCTACCACATCACTCTGAATCAGGGAGACTTCCTTAGGGTGAGGCTTCTTGTAGATGAAGTTTGGAATGCTTGTTACTTTTTTATATTGTTGCTGTTTCAGTTTAGATTGGAGTATTTTTACTCATTTTGGAGTTGTCATTTGTCCTTTATTTAGTTGCTTTTTTTCTCAAAACTTAGCATAAATCCAGAGATTTTCAAAAATTCCTGTTGTTCTTGGTTTATTTGTAAGGTTGGTGGCTTAGTTATGTGGTTGTTTGGTTGGGTGGTTAATCTGTGATCATTTTAAAGATAACAGTTATTATTGCCTGATTAGTAATA